AAACAAAACAAAAATGCCTCACAATGAAATACATAAATCACACACATACATAATTAAGCTAACAAAATCTCAATAAAAGAAATCTTCTCACTTTGAAGCGAGCCGAGAGGGAGTGAAACAGATTAGAAGAAGGAGAGGTAGACACAAATTATTGATGCGAATGAATTCTTTCGACAATGCCCAAATACATTTACAGGGTATGTAGAGGCTTTGATTCGTTTACTCTAGCTTTTTCCGCTTTCAGCTAAAAATTGATTAATTTAGTTCCCAAGTGAACTAAAATTATAACACAAACAAAACAAATTCTGAATTGAATAAATGAATATGCAAAATGTGTCAGAGTTGTGGAGTGTACGACTAGCAAACACCCTATCTGAGAAAGTCAAAGTCTATAACCCATTTCCACTTAATTATGGATATATTATATAGAGCTAGAGCTCTCCAGTGGAATTAGGTGATTCATATAAGTTTCTCTTAAATGATATGCAGAGTTTACAGTCTAACTATTTTCACAATCTCAATTCAAATTGTTCATTCAGTCATCCCCGCGCGTGATCTGTGTCCAGGGTATATGACAGCATTAAATCTAGTTGCATTGCAAATTTATTGCTATTTGCTGAATGAAAGATAAATAAGCATTTTATCATCTCATTGCAGCTGGCCGTCCACCTCATGCAATAAATATTTATTGCATTTTCTAAATCGACAAATTTCTGTTGTTGCAGTTCAATAAAAATGCTGATTAATGCGCTGACAGTTCAATAAAAATGCTGATTAATGCGCTGACAGATTGTTTCGCGAATATATAATGACTTTACTGTTATTATTAACTGTCTTTGCATTTGTATATTTCCACACACTTTCTCTTAATCTCTCGTTTTTGGCTAGCTTTTCTCATCCTTCTTTTTAAGAGGGACTTCAGTGCTCTACAGCCTTGCATTGCTTTCTCTATCACTCGATCGTCTGTCTGACTTTTGCTCCTTACTTGCTCTTTCATTCAGACGATCTTTCAATCGCTTTATTCGATTTGCTCCTTCACAACTTTTTTTCCTCATATTCTGCACTTTTAATCAATTTATACTTCAATCTTCTTATGTCTTACATCTTGTATTAAATCTTTCGTTCCATGGTTTCTGTCTCTGTTTATCTTTATCTCTTTCGCGATCTCTCTCTTTCTCTCTCTCTATTTGTTTCTCTGTTTATCCCTGTCTGTCTCAGTATGTCTTTCCTAAATCGCTATATCTCTTTTTCTCTCTCTCTCTCTGTCTCTTTCTTTCTCGCCATCTTACTCACTCGCTCTGTATGTGACTCTCATCTTTGACTTTTTTCCTTCAGCTATTCTGTGTCTCATTCTCTTCCCACCTCTCTCTCTCTCTCTCTCTCTCTCTCTCTCTCTCTCTCTCTCTTGTGAATATTGTTTATTTTTTCTTCACAAATATCATTTCGAACTTTCCACAAAATGTGCAAAGCCAACACTTTCTCACGTCTGAAATACTTTGCCATAGCCCAAAAAACTAACTGCCAACAAAGTGCTGCAAAAGTTGTAAAGTTCTAACTATTTTCAACAGCAATGCAGAAGTTGAATGTAATTGCACGAATCGAAAGTCATTTGATGTCATAATCATCCAAGTTCCAAGACGCCACAGCCAATGGTCAATCAAAAGTCAGCTTATGCCCCATGCCGTGCTCTATGCTAAATCTCTGAAAAACTCTTGCACAAACTATCCAGCAGCAGAGTGAGACAGAGAGAGAGAGGGAGAGGGACGGGAAGAGGCGTTAGTTTGCGTTGTGGGAGGTGTCCAAGTGTTTTACAATAACAGAGCATCTGCAGCAACAACAACAACTAGAACAACAGCAGCGCACAAAGTTTCTTCACACTTTTCCGCAGATTATCTCTATATGTACTTTTATTCTTCTTTACTTTGCTTTTTTTTTCTTGTTTTTTGTGTTTGATCGCCTGTGCTCTTCTGTTGGTCTTTCTTGTTGCTGTTATTGTTTCTGCTTTCTGCTCCTATGCTCTGCTTGCAATATTTAAGTGGCGCATATTTGTTAAGTGTCAGGTTGACAGAGTTTAAAGCATTCATATTCATCTATGTCCATTTAGTTAGAGATTCTGATTGATTGCTATTTATTTATGCGAATAGATATGCATAGATATTTAGTATTTGCATTTTACTTCAAGATAAGACTAATATCCTCCAACATATAATCAAGTCAGTTTGCTGAGTTCATTATTAATAATATTTTAATTACACATATTTGCAAGACTTTCAGTCTAATGTTCCTTAGCTTTTTCAGTTTGACTTTGCAACTGATAGAAGCTCATCTTTAGCTCGAATGAAATCTAAATCAGACTGTAAAAGTCTTATAAAAAAAAACACACAGTTTTTCGAATTTTAAAAAATTAATAATTAATTAATAAATTATGAAAAAATATACATTTTAAATTAAAAAACAAAAATTAAAACAAACATCAACTGCTATTGCAAATAAAGTTAATTAAACTTCAAAGCTCGTTTATCCAATCATTTATCAATTTCATTACTGATCTGCGGATGAAAACAGAGTATGGCGCAGTCGGCTCTAATTAGTTGTCTCCGACTGTTTCACGCCTCACGTTTCTCTTCTTCCGCCGCGTGCACTTCTCAGCGGGAGGCCATGGGCCCTGCTGCACATAAAAACATACATACACGTATGCTTATGCTACCGATACGCACATACATGTATGCATACATGTATATGTACGTGCATATAAATATATATGCATGTATTCTTTTTATGTGCAAACATCTTGGCTGGGAAATTTTGCATATTAATAGCGTTTTCCTTATTATTTGCTCGCCTTATTTTTGCACATTAATGCAATTGGGGAAATGGGCAGAGCAACCGGAATTTATTTTAATATTCTTTTAAGTACCCGCCATAAGTGGCAGGCGATTCGGGCAGCTGTTGCTGTCAAACAAAAAATACAACAAGAAATCAAGCATACGCCGTGTTCGACTTACCGTGGGCAAACAGCCCCAGCCGCAGTAGGCAGTGCAGCCAATGTTGTTGCGAGCCGACAAGGGATTTGTAACGGTATTTGGGCCCGCTGCTGATACTGATCGATGCCATTGATAAGGATTTACATGTTGTGTTGCTGACGCGCAAAGTTGCAAGTGAAGGCACACACGCACATACACACACACACACACACACAGACAGCCACTCAGTCTGATAGCCACGTAAACAAAATTGACAACAAAAATAACAGTCTTTCACTGAATACGAAGTATTATCGCAATCGCATGAATTTTTCAAATGCGCTCTGCAATTAGAAACAAAATCACGAACGAATTGAAATGCGCGCCAAAATAACTGTTTACTGTGCCTGCACTGCCATCTGGTTCATCGCGTGCGCCGCTGTTGAACACTAGCATGCAACTGGCAGCAATGGGACACCCAATTAGCTTGGCGCGCTAACTCCAAGCACACACATACACACACACGAGCAGAGACAACAAGCGTACGCAGCTGACGCACGGTGCAAAAGTACACAGAAAATAGCTGAACATATGGCAGCACTGGCGATGTTAAGCACGTTTATGCGGCTATGTTATTTACGATGTGTGTATGAAACTGTGAAACTAACGCATTTAAACTCAATATAATTGTAGAGCACTAATTGATGTATATAATGGAAGCCAAAACTAAGCTGGCAAATTGAATGTAAGCTTGTTTTCAAAACTGCTTAGCCATTATTCGGTATGCAATAGCTATGCAGCAGCTTTTAGGCGTTGCAAAATATATCGTAAGCTGTTAACACAAATAATTATATCGTATAAACATGGCAGCTGTAAATCGCAAGCAGTGTACACTACAGGTGGCAACGCCATTTAACATTAACATTGTCAAACAGTTCCGTCATTGTTACTCCACAGTTGAGCACACATATTTTATTTACCATCCGTCGACTAGGCCACTGTTAAAAAGACACTCAATCGTGCAACTAGCCTTCGGTCTGCTTGCTGCATTCACTTTGCATTTTGCAGAGGCCATGCATACTTTGCTGACCAAAAACACTTGCCTGACTTGCCTGCATCGTTTTGACTCGGATGAGCTGTCGGCAGCTCAAGCCATTGATGCGGATTTATGGCATTCGCTGTTGCAGCATCTCGACTGGCAGGCAGATGAATTCAACATTGAATTTCTGCCCAAGCAGTTGTGCCGAGGCTGTCACCAGCAGCTCGTGAGCTTTCGTGAGTTTCAGGAGCGGGCAAATGCTTGCCGCCAAGATATCCTGTCCATGGTAATGCGATTAAAGAAGGAAATCGTCGAGGAACAACAAAATGCGGCATTTGAGGTTGTGTACGAGGAGGCTCTGGCTGAAGACCAGGAGAAGCAGGAGCGGGAGCCAAAGCCGCTGCTCGAGACAACAAGCCAGGAGGAGAACCAGGCTGACCCTATAGATGAGCTACCCAAAGAAGAGCTGGAGGCAGTGGTAGAGGAGATGCAACCCAATCAAAAAAAGCCGGAGATGCCCAGCACCAAACGACGCAGCAGAGGCTTAAAGAACAGTTTCAAGTGCAGCCAATGCGGTCACAACTTTGCCCACAATCTCACTTTGGACGCACACATTCGCAAGGTGCACGAGGGCAACAAACGCCCCTTCCAGTGCGATCGCTGCGACAAGGCATACAGCTTCATGAGCGGCCTCTACACACACATCAAGGAGATTCACAGCCCAAAGGAGCGCTCCTATCGCTGTGACCATCCCGGCTGCGATCGTGTCTACATCAGCTGCATAGCCATGCAGAAGCACAAGCGAATGAAGCATTCCGAATACGTTGCGGCCCCAGGCCGAAAGTATGTCTGCGAGCAATGTGGCGCAACGTTCAATCAGACAGCGAATCTCAAATATCATCGACGCACCAAGCATCCCACCGAGGATGAGGCGGCAGCCAATGCGCTAGCCAGCGAACAGTACTATTGTGATATTTGCCAGAAACATTTCCACTCCCGCTACACACTGAAATACCATACGATGCAACAGCACGGAGGCGGCAATTCAGACACCTCCCAGGATCAGCCAACACTCATGCACGAATGCAAGGTGTGCGGCCGGCGTGTGGCTAAGCGCTTCATGCTCATGCAGCACATGCTGATGCACAGCGCGGAGAAGCTGCCATGCGAGCATTGCGGCCGTCTCTTTGCCCGCAAATTCGAGCTGGAAGCCCACATTCGGGCGGTGCACCTGAAGTTGAGACCCTTCGGCTGCAGTTACTGCGGCGAATCGTTTGCATCAAGAAAGACCCAACGCCATCACGAGTACATTCACACCGGAGAGAAGCCCTATGTGTGCTCGACCTGTGGCCAGGCATTCCGGCAGCAGACGTGCCTTAAGAATCATGGCAGAGTGCATGAGAAGTCCAAGTGATTAATTCACATAAGTTCTCTCTTTAGTTGTATAGTACAGATAGAACAAGAAATATATTATATTTATATTTAAAGCTAACTATTAACTGTGCCGTGCTCCTTCTGTAGTTGTTGTTTCTCCTTCTCTATGTACACGGGCAAATCGTCCAGGGGCTTAAAGTACATATGCACTGCCTGTGAGCCGGCCATCATGGCCAGCATTGCGCTGCCCAAGAACTTCATGTATTGGCCCCACGAGACTCCGGCGGGCATGATTAAATCGATTCCTGTAGTTGATGCTGCTGCTGTTGCAATTGATCCTCCACGTAGTTTTTCGCCTGCCTGCGCTTGAAAGTGCGATCTACAAGGAGTTTTGTTTCATTAAGTCTTTACACATAGTCGAGGCTCGGAACTCACAGAAATTCGTCTCGCCCACAGTCCAGTTGATCATGGAGTACTCCAGCGCCGCGCCCAGAACAAAGAATATCGGCAGAAAGCGGTAGATGCCAAAGCGCTGCTTACCAGGCCAGCTGTCAAGCAGACGTTGCACAGATCTGCTATATAGAGTCATCCGGTATTTGAATTATATAAGCTGGCCGGTCCAATTATCTGACCAGGCGAATAGCTTTGTTTAGCTCTTCAAATTTATGTTGAAGTCAACGTAATTTATATAGTGTGTTCTGCATGCAGCTTACCAACTGATACTGTTAATTTAGTACAAATTTTTATACAAAATAAAGTAGAGCAACCCAAATACAGATGCCGAAAAGAGTTTCTGTTTTTGAACAGCTGTTTCAAATATTTATCAGCTGTTACGTGAAGCAAGCTCCTTTTTGCGTTAAGTTGCTCTTTTGAGCGTTCATGAAGGGTATGCTGCTTATGAATGTAAAATGTGGAAAATGTTAAGAAAATAGGATCACTGTTAAAGTCAAACATTTGTTATTTAACCAGTTTCAAGTCATGCAATGAAAATTACAAATTATTTTATTTATAAAGCGCATAGCTTTCACGCTTTTCGAATTGCGACATTATTTGAAGTTGCTTACGTGCACTGTTAGAGCCTAACAGCGTCTGTTATCTTTACGTTGTAATCTACGTTTGTTTAGTATTTCTACATTTACTCAACACGTAAACAGTTTTTTGAGTTTTTTTTTTGTTTGCAAAAAGCCAAGCGTTTGCTTAAACATATGCCGACATAGTTAACCGAGAGCAACAATAACAAAATATGATACACAGCCTGTTCATAGTTAATAACAGCGGGTAAGCTAGACAACAGATGTTGACAGTAAACTGAAAAATATGATAACTTCGATTTCACCCACAGCGAAGTCTTTTTGGAGAAGCATTGGCGTTCCGTTGTCTCTCGCTCCGTTTGCGAATACTTTCTCGATGCACAGCGCGCCGCTCCCTACGTTAGTGATGATTTGATTTCCCATGCCATTGACATTCAAATGATTTCTATTCTTGCTCCTGCAGGATGTGCCGCCCGTTATTGCCACGCCCCACTATTATCTGATCACTGTACAGCGGGATAGCGTGTCCTTGGTCGCTGCCTGCAAGCAGGAGGTGCCGCCTTTGTTTGTCATCGAATTTCTGCATCGTGTGGTGGACACCTTCCAGGACTATTTCAGCGATTGCTCCGAGTCTGTGATCAAGGATAACTATGTGGTTGTCTATGAGCTGCTCGACGAGATGCTTGACAATGGCTTCCCCCTGGCCACCGAGAGCAACATACTCAAGGAGCTGATTAAGCCACCGAACATATTAAGAACCATCGCGAATACAGTCACCGGCAAGAGCAAGTATGTCCACCTGTCCCAACTCATCCTTGATAAGGACTCTCTAATGGATTCTTTTTGTGGTTGCAGCGTCAGCACTATTTTGCCATCCGGTCAGCTGTCGGCCATACCCTGGCGCCGCAGCGGCGTGCGGTATACCAACAACGAGGCCTACTTTGATGTCATCGAGGAGGTGGATGCAATCATTGACAAATCCGGCTCAACGGTCTTCTCTGAGATACAGGGACACGTGGGTAGACAAAGACAGCATATATGGACGTGAAACTCTATAATTCTTCCCCTTGCAGATTGACTGTTGCATTAAGCTGTCGGGCATGCCGGACCTAACGCTCTCCTTTATGAATCCGCGTCTCTTTGACGATGTCTCATTTCATCCTTGCGTACGCTTCAAGCGCTGGGAGGCCGAGCGTCTGCTCTCCTTCATACCGCCCGACGGCAATTTCCGTCTAATGTCCTATCACATTAGCTCACAATCGGTTGTGGCTATACCCATCTATATACGGCACAATTTCTCAATAAAGACGGGCGAGCAGGGGCGTTTGGATCTCACAATCGGGCCACGCAACACACTCGGACGCACCGTGGACAAGGTGAAGCTGGAGCTAACGATGCCCAGGTGTGTGCTAAACTGCCTCCTAACACCCAATCAGGGCAAATACACATTCGATTCGGTGAGCAAAACGCTTGCCTGGGATGTCGGACGCATCGATGTGTCGAAGCTGCCCAACATACGAGGATCGGTAAGGACTATGAAGTTATATGGAAGTATATACATACATATATATATCTTCTCCTTTTTATCGCTTTCAGGTCTCATTAACACCTGGCACACCGAACATCGATGCCAATCCCTCCATCAATGTGCAATTCCAAATCTCTCAGCTCGCTGTATCCGGTTTGAAGGTGAATCGATTGGACATGTACGGCGAGAAATACAAGCCCTTCAAGGGCGTCAAATACTTAACCAAAGCGGGCAAATTCCAGGTGCGCATGTAGCTGCACGCTCCACATGCCACACATGCCACGCCCAGCCCACACGCCCCTTCTACTCAGCTTTAATTAAGTGTAAAACAAATCGAAGGAAACTCAAATGTTCCACACATGTTAATTATAATTGCGCTGCTCTTTCTAGTTTTTTTGTTTTTTTTTTTTTTTTGCTATGCCATCATAACAGAATAGAGAAAAAGATCATGAAAAAGAATAGGAAAAGAATAGGAAAAGCCCGCGTGTTTATTGTATTCATCCCAATTCGTGCTATTCTCTGTGCAAGCTTTATTTTACAATCTCTCTCTGTACTTGAGCAGCCCAAGCGAAACTATCCTATACAGCTCATTAGAGGGTATATTAATGCTAAAAATAAGAAGCTAAAGTGCATTGTATTAAACATTATTTTATCATTCTTTTTTAAACTAAGTTCTCGATAAGCCCTTTGTTTTTTTTTTTTCTTCTTTTTTTTTTTTTTAAATATCATTCCTTTGCTTGCCTTATAAATAAAAATATTTGACTATTATGTGTACACTTATAGCAAGCGTCAATGAATAAAGATGTTCCGTGAAATTTATATATTTATATACATATGTATATACTTCAAGATATTTCAACAAAACTTGACAATCAAAGGGTTCAATTTTCATAAATAAATATATACATATCTTAAGTTCGAAGATGAAAAATATGATTACATATATATATTTATTTATTTAATTTATCTGATAGTCGGATCAGATTTCCATATAACATATTATTTCTATATAACACATTGCTATGAAGTTGATGTTGAACTTGGGCGCATTCTCCAACACTGTCGAACAAACACAGACAAACTATTCAAGATAATAAATAAAATATATGACAAATTACAGGGTATCTGCCAATTGGTTACTTCATTCTCAATTGCTATCTACGACTGCGTTGGCTTTTATAAATGTCAAAGCGAATGCAGCTGAAAAATGTTTTATGCTAACTTCAAGTATAGTTCTAGTTGTGTGTGTGTGTGTGTGTGTGTGTTTATGTGTGTTTATTTTAGTGTGTTGCTGTTGGTGTGTGCGTCGCCATATTTAAAACTGGCTGTTGAACGTTGGCAAACAAGTTGCAAGCTGCCTGTGCGACTGTGGCTGCTGCCTGGCAACAAACCTCTCAAAGCCAGAGCCAAAACCAATAAATTTAAATAAAAATGCAAAACTTGATTTCTAATACCCTAGATGGCCGGCCAAGCGGGTCTTATGTGAAGCTTTAAATTCCACCAACTTAGCTCTATATAGCCTGAGTCTAACTCCCGATCTCACTCAACTTTCAACATAATTGCACTCAAAGACTCAGTAAATCAATATTGGCATTTAAACTAATATCAATATATACTAATATATTTTTTTACATATATACTAATTATTCAAGATTTTTTATTTCTAAATATTGAGTTTATCGCCAAATTTGTGCTCCAAGCGGACCAAAGAAATATTAGTAGAAATTTCTTTGACCACAGCTGTATATATATATGTACATATATATGTTTAGTGGATATCTGACATAGAGATATATGTATGTACATATTACTATTATGTCTCCTGCGCTAATACTGATCTAACAGATCTACCATATATACTATGTATATATATGTATGTATGCCTTATGCCTTATCTCAATATTCTATATCAACCTCACTTTTATAAATTATATAGATATATACACTTCATTTGTTATGTACATATATAATATGAATATTTTTAAATAATTTTCATAATTTTTTGTTTTTTGTTTTATTTGTTTT